TGAGAATATTATCCAGCTGTATATTGTTTACTTTATTGTAAATACTGGTAAACAGTGGTCAATAAATAGTTTTATATTCCTTTATGTGATCCGACTTTTTCTTTATCTAATTGTCTTTAAAATAAGAGTGTAAATACCCACACATATGTCCACAAAAATATTTTCTTGTGAGGCATTTGCTTCATTAAAGTATTTTGTTACTTAGAATCTACTTTGTTAAAAGTGCTATTTGAAAAAACGTATTCTGATAGGACTGATCCTGCTGTGCTAGACATTTCTACTAATTTCCAAAATTTACACAGAGAAAGGGAAATCATTTCACAATATGTACGTTGAGTTATATTGTATACGTCAATTCTACCTCATTTTAAAAAAAGAAGCCGTATCTATGCTGTTTGTTTTCTCTTAGAGATCTAGCACTGCTCAACAATGGGTTTTTAGATGATACAGACCTGTTCATATCAGAAATTAATGCCCCTACCTTAAACTTCAGTAAGGGCATTTCTGGAAACAATTTTATTATCACTTACTGTGTTGTATTAGTTTCTTATTGGTGATGTGGAAAATTGCCACAAACTGAATTGCTTAAAACAGTACAAAATTATTGTCTTAACAGTTTTGAAGGTCAGAAGTCCAAAATCAGCCTCACTGGGCTATAGTCAAGATGAAGTGTATATGTATGAGGCGCTTAGAACAGTGCTTTATTTTTAGTAGTCAACATGCATTTATTGCTTCAAATAGGGGCTGTTGTATGTAGGTTCCCAAACTTAAGCAGTTGCTGGGTGTAAGCACTTAGGTTGTAAGTATAATGTAGTCAACATTCTTATTCTTACACATAATATATAGTGATGCTTAAGTAAATATGGATTCCCAGAAATTAGTGAAGTCAAATTTGCACTGATTTACTCTTTCCATCAGAGGCCATTACCCCATGTCCTCACTTGTACCGCAGATTGATAATACCGATTTATTTTTAGCTAATTCAATGGCATCTTGTTTTAATACGCACATCAGATATTTTTGTTGAGCATTCTTTTCAGGTTAATGACCACATTTTATCTATAAATTAATTGCCATTAAAAAGAAAAAAAAAAAACTCACTGGCTGTTTTTCAGAAAGTTTCCATGTTGGGAGACCAGAACGCTTACTTTACTTACATGTGCACAAACTCCACAGGGACAGAAGCTCCTTGGTTCAGTATCTTGCCCTGTCTCTATCTGGCTGTTGATTCATGTCCTTGAATATCCTTTGTAATTGGTAATCTAGTGAGTAAAACAAGTTTTTGTGAGTTCTATGAGCCATTGTAGTAAGTTAATTGCACCAAGGAGAGGGTCGTAGGGCCCAGGGAACAACCTGGACCTGCCATTGACATCCTGAGTTGGGTGCGGGGGTGTCGCTGGAACATCTGGTTGGTAGCAGATCAGTCAGAAGCACAGGTAACAACCCGGGCTGATGATGACTGGCATCTGAAACGGAGGGCAGTCTTGGGTCTTGTGGAACTAAGCCCTTTACCTGTGGATGCTGATTCTAACTGGGAAGATAGTGACAGAATTAAGTTGAATTCTCAGACACCGTGCTGACATCCAGGAATTGTCTTGCAAATATTTTCTCCTATTCTGTATTTTGACATGATTTGTACCTTTTTGTCGTACTAAATTTTTTCTTAAGGTGGTCAACTCGTCAGTCTTCCTGTCTTGTTTAAAAATACCTTTTCCATCCTGAATTTGAAATTATGTAGATTTTTTTTTTTTTTAATTTTCATTCATTTTTATAGTCAGGTCTTTAAGATTTTGTTGGCTATTGTGAAGGTTTTCTGATTTTTGTTTCCCAATGTGGACGTCAGTATCACTGTGAAGCAGATGTGTTGGTAGCAAAATTTCCTTAATCCTACGGATCAAAGAAAATGATCATACGCCACTACAAAAAATGTTGACCTGGAACCTGTTCAAATACCTGGATAATTATTGGTTTGGCAAGATCCCTGGGTTTAATACTGTTAAGAACAGAAGAAGACAGTGACCTGGAGTTTATTATCAATAAGCTACTTTAAAAACCTGAAGTCTTAATATTGTAATCCCTCAATACCAACCTCACCCCAATGCTTTTGTTTTGTAACTGAAAACTAATGTCCCTTGTTTGTAAACCAGAAATCAGATTCTTGATAATTCTGACAGGACCTGATACCTCATAGGGTATTTGTGTAGTAAATACTGTGGACAGAAGTAGAGAGGAATGAAAATCAGTAAGGGGAAGTAGTCCTTCAGGGTAACTATTAAGACATTTAAAAGTATTGTCTCCCATCCTTTCAAGTTCCCAAACCTTAAGTAGGCAATGAAGATATATGTTGGAAAGGAAAATGCGAGGAAATCTTGAGTTTGAGCTTGATCATTATATTTTAATTTTCTAGTTCTGTCACTCAAGGAACAGCTCGGATTGTTTTTTTTTTTTTAACCCTACCAGGCTCCTAGCCAGGCTCATATATATTGGCTACATTCCCCTAGAAAGCTAATGAATAGTGCTTAATTTACTTTAAAATTTCTGTGTGTATATGTTTTAATAGGTAATGCTGAATGGCTGTGTTACATTTTATTTTTACAATATATATTGTTTTATTAGACCAATGTGAAAATTGGGTATCAAGCAAGAGATAAGCATCTAATGTCAAGTGAAATATGAATAGTATGTGTATTTGTATGTAATCTATATAATACTTGGACCCTTTTATCTTTTATTGAATAAATGAATTTGTACCTTTGAATATTCACTGAACAACAGGAGCAATTTTAACATCTTAAAGCTCCAACAATTGATTTGGTAAAATCAAGGAAATCAGTACGGGCCAACCTATCTTGTTTAATACTTTGTAGCTTGATCCCTCTTCAAATGCTGCACTTTTCTGATCCATGATGATAATTAACATATAGATTAAGAGAATAATTAAGGGTGGGAATTGAGGGTTGTTAGGTTTTTGGTGGGATTTGTGTGTGCGTGTGCTAAGAATTTACATTGAAAGATTTCTGCAGGCAATCATATAAGTCACCAGGAGAAGTACAAAATTATGAAATTCTATTCATTTGGAGTCTTTATTTTTTCCATTACAGCTCATTTTTACTATAAAAGCTAATGTAATGAAAATCTCTATGAGCACACATAAGAATTTGTCAGTTCCTAGAAGAAATACCTAACAGTTGTTGACTACTAAGTGTTTTTCATACTTTATCTCATTTAATCCTCAAAATAATCCTCTGAGATGGATATGATTGACCCCATTTTACAGATGAGGAAACCAGGGCACAAAAAGGTTAAAGAAAGTCAAGTCCATTTGCATGAACTAGGACATTAGCTGTGGGAATAAAGAGGACAGGTTTGAAGACAGGGTTTTGTCTATAATAGCTGCCCAATATGTGTTTGTAGAATAAAGTGATCTGGGATATGAAATGAGAAGATGTATAGGTTAGGAAGAAGGATCCAGAATGACTCCAAGTTTTTATTTCATCATGGATGAGTAAAAATGTCATTTAGTGAGAAAGGGAAGAGAAACAAGTTTGAGATTGAAGATATTAAAGGTTTTGGAAATACTTAGGGTAAGTATTCCTTTGATTGGTTTATTACAGTTAACCCCTGAGCATCTCAGTTTGAACTGCACGCAGGTCCACTTATATGCCATTTTTCCCCCCCAATAAATACTTGTACTGTTTTCGGTCTGCAGTTGGGGGTCCGCAGATGTGGAGGGCCAACTATATGCATTGATCTACACCATTTTATATACGGGACTTGATTTGTACCCTCGGGAGCCCTTGAACCAATCTCCCGTGGATACTGAGAAACAAGTTTTGGGGGTCAAAAGTTACATGATTATTTTTGACTGCAGCGGTGGGTGTGTCGTTCAAGGGTCAACTGTACTTAGTATTCCTACAACATATATTACATAATTTGGCTGAAAGTCAGAGATCCCCAACTCAAACTTGCTTCGCTAAGGGAAATTATTCACTGTTCTAGAGACAGAATAACAGTGGTTCAGGGCACTGGCTCTGGAGTTTGACCCCAAGGGTTTGAATCCTAGCTCAGCTATTTGTTGCAGTTACTTAACCTCCCTTTGCCTTTACATTCTCATCTACAAAGCTGAGAGAATAATAATAACGGTATTTATCTCATGGGATTTTTCAGGGTTAAATGAGAAACATGAAAAATATCTAGAGCTGAATGTCTAGTACTTAATAAGGACCAAATGAATATTATTACCAGTCTCTAGCATAAGCCTTGGTATGACCGGAACCCAGGACTGGCATAACCCCAGGACTTGACATCTCTGGTTATTGGTTCCTTTCTCTGGAGACAATCTCCACAAATCAAAAACAGAAGTGCTGGCAGCTCCCAAATCCCCAAGTCTGCCTCTAAAGAGATACTGAGTTTTTCTCTTTACTGTGCAATTCAAAAATCCTTTAAGAGATTTCTGATTGTCCTGGCTTGGGTCAGATGCCCTTCTTCAAATTATCAACTCTCATTAGATGTGTGGAGAAATGTGATTGGATCAATCAGCAGAAGAGCGCTTTCAAGAAAAAGGTGAATGTTTTATATAAACAAAATGTATAGCTAATGTAAAGAATTTCGGCCAATTCAAATATGCCTTCTTAAACTAACCTTTGTTCTCACTTTTTAGAGAAATTCTAATGTGAATATTTTCAGTGTCCTGGAACATCCTAGAATGTCCTACCAACTCTACTTCTTTTCTAATGAAGATAGAAATCTGCTCTTTTCCTTAAATTTAAGTATTGGAAGAAAAATTGACTTAGGAGAGCATGATAAGAACATCGATATGTAAAGCTACTCTTGTAGTTCCATGAATGCATAATTTTCACTTTTTAAAAATAAAACC